CGAATTTAATATAGTTTAATAAGCTAATTGTACAGATGCAAGATTCCATATATCCAATTAAAAAATGATGTCTCAGAACCAAACGCGAGTTTGTAATCCATTTGTTGTTGAGCTGTGACAGCCTATTCGGATCATCCCTTAATGACAAATATGCCAAGCTTTTTTCATTAGTAGCCACGCACGCAACAATAGGGCAGTATCGTTCTTTCATGCCTGTCAACATTACCGGCTGATTTTTAATGATAAATATCATTTTATGTATTCACGCAGGTTCTACAGGTGTAGATAACTAGGATAGTACAACTATGTCAACGTATACAATTTATTCTACGGTTATACACTTTGTAATGAGGATTTTATATTCACTCATGCTCAAAATTAATTAAAAGAAAGGATCGTAATTACAGAAAAGAATAGAGAAAAACCACTTGCACACAATGGAACGTATACTTATCATTAGAGTCGTATACAATAATGAAAATACAATACGTATGGTTAGAAAAACAAATGACATTTCGTGTTAATTAAAATAAAACTATTATTTCTTGCATAGCGTAAAATACACTAATTTTTATGTTATTTTTCTACATTTAAATTTTCATTCAATTTCATTATAAGTATGAAAGAAATTCATTGTACGATTAGTTTACATTCAGAACTATTTTACATTCAAAATTTTGAATACAAGTACTGTTGGGATAAAAATATGTATGTCATTTATTAATGGAGAATTGTTTATATTTGAACAGGGATGTGTAACTCGGTATACTGAAAGTTCGATTCAGCCCTATTCGCGAGTCAGGCTAGGCGCCAGTAAGTTAACCGAATGTGGAAGAAGTAGGCAGTTATAGTTGAAAGGAGTCTCGAAAGCGAGTCCGCGCGACGCGACGCGGCGGTGACGTGGCCCAGGGCTGGCCAGCAGGAGGACAAGGAGGGACAGAAAAGGAGTCCGAATACGTACGTGCATATAGGAGAGGAACAGGGAGGGACAGAGGCCGCACCCTTCTCGCGTGGGTCGCCGGATGTGACAGTCGCTCTCTTTAATTACTCACACGCATACGCGTTGAATGGTCGCGTAAGAAACCGGCCAAGTGCGTCGCATGCATTCTCACTCTCACCCACACCCGCCGCGCCGCTCTACGGGCGCATTATGTTTTGCGCGTCTGCCCTCCCACAGGGCCGCGCAATCACGTGGAGTCCTGTGGCCCGGCTAAAAGGACGAAAAAGCCCACGGCGTCCGGTCGCGATCGAACATCCGTCGCGTCGCTCGAAACCACCACGTGGGACTCGAGATCGGGTTGAATGGAACCCGGCCGCCGCCGATCTGAATCACAATACCTGCTGCTCGCAGGCTCCTTCTGAATTCGTGTTTCTCTTTAAGTCATTCGTTCCTCTCCTGCTGCAGATCGTTTTGTAAATCTGTGGTCCGACAGCTACATATGATATGGCACAGAATTTTATAAGTTTTTCGTAAATACTATTAAATATTGACACGTAATCGTACGTGCAAATATTTTAATGAACTTCGGTAAATATCTGCCATCTCTTCGCACTAAAATTGATACTTTGTAAGAGATAGATGCTCTTTAAAATGATGTTATCATACTCATTTCTACGCTGATCGTTAGTAATCGTTAGATCCATGATTGCACCGTTGGCGAACGTGCTATAGGAAACGGGAACTTTACAGTAACGAATGCTTTACAGCCGACGCTATAGCCATTAACGGGTAATTAGAAACAGATGCCGAGCGAATCTTTTAACATAAAGCATAACCTTAATTCATAAAGCGCGATTACTCAGCAGCCCGGGACAGCCGGGAGGAGGCCGTACATCAGTGACACCTTCGAAACAAAAGTTTTAATTATTTATTAGCCGGCACACGCGTTGAATGTAGCATTTCGCGGGTCACCCCCGTGCCTCTCGGTGCTTTATGTAGCCGGACCCCTTTTCCCGCCTTCTTCGAACCGGGGAAGTTTATCAACGGGACACCATAATTCCAAGACGGCGGAAAATGAGACAATTTTTATCTTTGCAGGCCTATTCTTCGTTGAGAGAAAGCAAGCTTTTTAGCAGATGGTGTTCTTAAGCAAATACTTCGTTTACGTTTAACTAAGATTGTGTTTATATCATCATCCTTGAAAGAAAAATATCTTACTTTGAAAAAATTCAGTT